TTTAAGAATTTGTTTATTTGACAGAGAGTGAGAGGAGTGAGAGCACAAGCAGGGGGAGCAGCAGAGGGAGAGGGGGAAGGCTCCCCGATGCGGGACTCGATCCCAGGACCCTGAGATCATGACCTGAGCTGAAGGCAGAGGTTTAACCCACTGAGCCACCCAGGTGTCCCTCAATACCCATTTCTAACGAAAGCTCTTGGAAATTTAGCTATTGAAAAGAACATCCTCAATCTGATAGAAGCTGTCCTCTAAAAATCTACAGCGAAAAGCATGCTTCATGGAAAAACTTCTGTTTGATGTCAGGAACAAGATAGAGCTGCTTGCTGTCACCACCACTGTCTGGTGTGTACCAGAGGGCTTGGCCAAAAAGTTTGTTTGAAGACAAAAAGTTTGTCTTTTTGAAGACAAACTTAAGAGAAATAAGAAGGATAAGGATAAGAAAAAAAAAGGTTATTGAAGATTATATATAAATAACATACGAGAATTAATGAAAAATTAGAACCAGCAACAAATTTCAACAAAGTTGCACAGAAAACGAAATGCCATTTTTAATAACCATAAAACCCCCTAAGTAATCTAACAAAAAAATGGGATTTTTATAAAGACTTATGATCTTCAATGTGAATGCAACCAGATGTAAGTTAATAAGGGGAAATATTCTGTTCGTGAATGCAAAACTTAATATCGTAAAGCTATCCGTTCTCCCACAAATCTATAAATTCAAAAATATTCCAGTCAAAATCCCAGGAGGATTATTGGACGGAAGATGGACAAGATTCTAAAATTCATTTTGGAAACATAAATACTATTAGCTAAGTTGGTTTGAAAAAGAAAAGCAAACAGAGAGGATTCCCCCTACCCTGGGTCATGCTGCAAAGCTACAGTGATTAGTAAGGTGTGGTGCTGGCAGGAAACAGGCACTCAGACCATAGAGTTCATTGCCAAGTCCAGAAACACACCAGAGTACACACGAGAAGCTGACATATGAGAAAAGTCGCTTCACAAATCAGGAGGAAAGATGGAATTTTTTTTTTTTTTGGATATGTGTTATTAAAAAATTGTCCTAGTGAGAGTCTGGAGAGAAATGAAATTCTGTACCTATCTTACCTGCTATAAAACTTTCAGACAGATTGAAGACCTAAGTACAAAGCTAAAATATAAAGTCAACAGATAAAAACATGGAATAACTTTGAGAATTTGAAGTAGGGAAAGATTGTTTTAAAAGGCCAATTATAGGGACGCCTGGGTGGCTCAGTTGGTTAAGCAGCTGCCTTCGGCTCAGGTCATGATCCCAGCGTCCTGGGATCGAGTCCCACATCGGCCTCCTTGCTCATCAGGGAGCCTGCTTCTCCCTCTGCCTCTGCCTGCCATTCTGTCTGCCTGTGCTCGCTCTCTCTCCCTCTCTCTCTCTGACAAATAAATAAATAAAATCTTTAAAAAAAAAAATAAAAAAAAATAAAAGGCCAATTATAATGGAAAAAAAGACTCCTTGGTCTCCAGGGAGCATTGGGGCTGAGTAGTTGTTCGTAAGTGTCTGCCTCTCTGATGTCATTCCCTGGCCCAGGACTTTCTCTGCAGCAGCCACAGAGAAGGTGGCCTGGCTCAGGATTTGGCTCACTGGGGAGTCCTGACAGGTGCTGAGATTCAGGCAGAGAAGAGCCAGCCGGGTGCCTGAGGCAGAAGAGGCTCACTTGATGATCCCTTATTTTCTTGGCCTGAATTGCTCTCACCAGGGCATTCAGACTCATTCTCTAGAGGAGTCTCTTAGCAAGGAGCCTCAAACACTAGTGTGGCTGGCCAAGAGAACATGAAAACAGTGCGGGCCCCGGGCACTCCGCTGCTGCCCACACAGTCAGTGTGAGTGTGGGCCACTCTAATGCAAGGGCTGGGCTGGTCATTGATATTTCACAACCAACTCTGCCGGATCTCCAGAATCGTGCCAGGAGCTGGTTAAAAATAAATTGCAAGGCCCCACCTGGAAACACTCTGATTCAGTAGGTGTGAAAGGCAGCTCAGGAATCTGAGTCTGGGAGTCTGACTGGCTCCCAAGTGTGGCCAGGATAGGACCTGCCAGGCTGGATCACTTTTCCAGGGTGGGGGAGATCAGAACTAGTTCCCAGTGGTGCAGAACCTCCCCCTGGGTCCTTCCCTGGAGAGGTGTGATAGGAGGTGGAGGGGGATATACATATCAGGTGTGCCCCGGGGCAGGATGGGAGTACAGTGGTCAGGATGGAAAGAGGAGAGGGAGGGGTCCAGCCAGCTGGTTTGGGCAGAAGAGGCCCAAGGGTGCCAGGGAAAGCCCACCTTTCTCCTCTATGAGGGCCCCACTCCCTGCACCTTGGTATGATCCTGTACTGGAATGGTCTGTTAATTGCCTGCTTCCTTTACCAGCCTGGGAGCTGTTGGAAGGCAAGAAGCTTGCATTCATTTATGCGTTCATTCATTCCACAAATATTTATTAAGATAGTCATGTGCTAGGGTCCGGCACTAATAGGGAACAAGTTTGAGTCAGCCCACTAGAGCTTACAGGCTAGTAAGGAGGCAGGCAGTAAGAGCCAGCAGCTCTAATGAGGTCTATTAAAAGCCGCAAAGGAGAACCCGCAGATACCTAGTAGGGACACCTATCTCTGACTTGAGAGATCAGGAAAGGCTTCCTGGAAGAAGTGAAGTTGAAGATGGTGATGAATGGAACAATCAAAGAGGAATGGGGATGTCGGTTTCAGCCCCACATGGAGTTGTTATGTGAGTGCTGGGAGGCGTGAGAGGGAGCAATGAAAGGCCTCCGCTCCCTTTGCCTCGTAGGGGCTTGGGACTTAACCCAGGGCTGCAGCAGCAGGGAGTGTCTGGTGAATAGGCTGCTGCTCTCCAGTGAGCTGGATGGGCCAGCCCTAGTTCCTGCCCACTTCCCCCAGATCCCTTTCCCCTCTTTCCCTTCTGTTCCTATGGACTGGGCCAGCTGCCCCTCTGGGAACCAGGCAGTGATTTTCCTTTAGCACCTGGGAATATTAGATGTTTCTTCAACTTAGTATGTATCATTGTCCAGAACTGGGGAAACGGAGTCTGGAAGAAGGGCTTGATGTTCTGGGAGTCCCAGAAACACTGGGCTTCTCTGACTTCTCAAGGCTGTTAAAAACTGCTCTTAAGGGGCGCCTGGGTGGCTCAGTGAGTTAACCTCTGCCTTCAGCTTGGGTCATGATCCCAGGGTCCTGGGATTGAGTCCCACATCTGGCTCTTTGCTCAGCAGGGAGCCTGCTTCCCCCCCCCCCCCCCCGCCCCGCCCCGCCTGCCTCTCTGCCTACTTGTGATCTCTGTCAAATAAATAAAGAAAATCTTTAAAAACAAAACAAAACAAACTGCTCCTAAGGGGCATCTGGGTAGCTCAGTCACTTAAGCCACCCACCCTTGATATCGGCTCAGGTCATGATCTCAGGGTCATGATATCTAGCTCTGTACTGGGTTCCACACTCAGCGGGGAGTCTGCTTAGGATTCCTCTTCCTCCCTCTCTCCCTCAGCCCCTTCTCCCCACTCCAAATCTTTTTTTTTTTTTAAAGTCAGATTCCTAAAGGAATTAAATTACTCTATACTCCTGGGCATAGTGTTCTATGCCAGGGTCTATGTTTGGGCCTTCAGGGCACCCCCAGAGCTACCCCAAGGCCTGGTGTGCACTAGGTGTGTGAACTGTATGGACACGTTTCCTTTCCTGACCTTGGGAGGTCCTCTGCCCACCATGAATGTAATCCTGAGTTCCCTGTGCTCTGAGGACTTGGCAACAGAAATGGCCATTGCTGCCATTTTACTGATCACGTTTTGTGTCAGGCACCAGTAGTCTTGCCCGTTTGTTCCTGAAAACCTTGGGGGCTGGGCTGGGGGGGTCTATGAGAAGCTCAGCAGATACTGGTGGAGACTGAGCCTCTGACAGGGAAGGGGTTCAGAACCGTCAGAATCAGGTCATGCAAAGGTTAGCTGATAGGATTGTCACCCCCTCAACCCTGCGCAGCCCGCCCCCCTGCCAGGCAACCCAGGGATGTGGCTGGGGGCTGTGACTTGAAGGAAGCTTCCTGTGTGAGGACAGGATCTGGCCTGCTGGGTAGGGGTGCTCCCCATTCCCCTGTTGCCTAGGCAAACAGCACGATCCCTTTTCCAGCCTTTCAGATCAGCAATTGTTACCTTAGGAATCATCACCATCCTACCTGCTGCTAAGTGAAAAAAAGCAGACAACCAAACACTGACCTCAATTTCTGTGAAAACTACATATGCTTATTTCTACAAGAGGCTGGAAGGAGACACCTGTTAATGGTGGTTGTCACTCAGCACTCTCCGATAAAAATGTCTTTGGGGCCTTTGGGTGGCTCAGTGGGTTAAAACCTCTGCCTTTGGCTGGGGTCATGATCCCGGAGTCCTGGAATCGAGCCCCGCTTCGGGCTCTCTGCTCGGCGGGGAGCCTGCCCCCCCCCCAACTCAGCCTGCCTCTCTGCCTACTTATGATCTCTGTCAAATAAATAAGTGAAATCTTAAAAAAAAAAAAAAAAAGTCTTCTGCTCACTCTACAGTTTCTAATTTTTCTCCAGAGGCCACGATTACTTGTGTCATTAAAAGACTAAGGAGGAAGGAATTGGCAAGGAGCCAAGCCGGGTGGGGGTTCCACGTTTCCCCCCCAGAAGGCGGGGCTTATTTGCATAAGCAAACAGGGGGTTCCCGCCCCGCCCTTCCAGTCTCCCGGCTGCTGGGCGCAGTCTGCCCAGAACCGCCCATATGAGAGCTTTGGGGCACCATTGGTGCGGTCTGGCCGCTTGTCGCCTGCCCCACCGGACAGTGTGCCCCAGGGCAGGGCTGGCCGAGTCTCCTGGTCGGTGCCCGTCAAGTGCTGAGCGGGGGCAGGGAGGCAGAGCAGAGGCAAACATGGGGTGGGAGCGGGAACCGGGGGCCACGAGGCAGGGTCTGGAGGAGGGGGGCAGGCCCAGGCTTAGTCTGACTTACCCTCGCGCCTTCTGTTCCCTAGATCCACTTCCCGGATGTGGAGCGGGTCGAGTGGGCCAATAAGGTAAGGCTGAGGTGGGCCTGGCGGGGCCGGCCTCCTGGGCCTGGTCCCCTTGGTGCCCCTGGGCTCAGTGACCCCACCCTGGATGGGAGCCTGTGCCACAAAGGCCTGTTGGCAGTACCCTCAGGGTTCTTCTCCTTGCCAGTGACTCTCTTTAAAAAACAAACAGCTTTCTTTAGTGTGAAATTAATGCACAGACAGAGCAGAAATGTTAGAAAACACCAGGAAGTATAGAGAAAAATGCAGCCCGGGAGGGGGCCAGGATCAGGGTTTCCCAAGAGAGGAGGGCGGTATCTCACTGCAGCTGCCCTCCGCCTGTGGCCAGCCGGGATCTGCCTCCGATGACTCGGCACCCTCCCGCAGGGTGCCTAGCCTTTCAGAGCCAGTCCCTCATCTGTGGGTGGGGAATAATTATGGTACCTGCCTTGGGAGCTTGTGAGGATCCGTCAGGTAATGAAAGCGCCACAGGGCCCAGAGGTCAGGAACACCGTCATCATCAGTATGACCACTGTTGTTGGATCCTGCTGGTCACGCCCTCGGGCCCTGCTGCAGGAAGCCCTGGGAGGGCCTGGCTCTGAGACTCCTGGTCTGGCCTTTTCTTACAGATGAGGAAACAGAGTCTGCCCCTGCCTGATGAGCCCAAAACTATCTCCTAGATGTGGAGACTCCAGTACCTCCCCACCCCCTCAGGTATCCTGATTCAGGACTTTTTCTATAGAGACCTTGCCTCTGTTCTGGTTGGAAAAGTCCATAGCAGGAATGACTTGAGTTTAGGTATAAAAAAGGACTTTCTGATGGTTTTTGAGCCAAGGCTGATAGTCTCGTGTTACCAGATATGTCATTGCCACGTGGGTCAGAAACTGCTCCCAGCCGGCAGACAGAAGTTGGAGGAAGTGGGCTGCTCCTTTCAGATGAGTCACCTGGTTTCTGTGGACTAATGCAGGGCCCAGGGCCCCTGGGGCAGACCTTGTTCTTCCTGCCTGTGTGTCCGCCAGTTCACGGGTGCACTTGTGTGCTCTGTCCTTTCTTGCATTGACACTGAGTCGCACACAAGGTGCTGGGGACTTGTGACTGGTTGGACCAGGCTCCTGCCCTCTGCTCAGGGCATGGATGGGGATACAGCTGTGTAGACGGACCCCACACGGGGGCACGACTTGTGTCCCAAAGAGCTTTGTGCTCAAGATGCACTGGGCAGACCACCAAGCAGGGAGTCAGGAAGATGGGACCAGCCCCTAAGGGGGCTCTTAAGAGAGATGGAAGTGGTAGAGCCCTGAAACATCACTGCCTCAGGCTCCTCTCATGGTGGGTCTGGGGAATGCAAGGTGCATCTTGTGAACTATGACCCAGGTCCAGGAGAAGGAAAGGGAGACTTTGCCCCAGACAGAACTGCCGCTGCTGCTCCCTTCGTACCCCTCACTGGCAGCCCCCCTCCTGACGTCTCTTCCCCGCCCCCCCCCATGGCACCAGCTACTTCTTGATTACACCACAGTGTTGCCCTTGATAGCTTCTGTTTTAGCACAGAACCAGAAGTTTCATAATACTAAGTTTAGTGACTGTTTTATGGTGCTCTGCAAAAGAGCACCAAATCTTGGGTTCCCACTGCCTGGGCAGGTGTGAGAAGCACTGCTGGAGTTATGAGATGTCTGATGGACAGATGGACAGATAGGTGGGTCAGTGGGTGGGCAGGCAAGCCTGTGGGTGCTGTAGCTTAAGGGCCACGGGACCCCCATGCCTGGGTCAGGTTGTCCTGGTCAGGCCTGGGTCTTGGTGGGGGAAACAGACCTGACCCCCAATAGCCTCCTCTTGGCACAGATCATCTCTCAGACCTGGCCCTACCTGAGCATGATCATGGAAAACAAGTTCCGGGAGAAACTCGAGCCCAAGATCCGGGAGAAGAGCACCCACTTGAGGACCTTCACCTTTACCAAGCTCTACTTCGGACAAAAGGTGGGTGATGTCTCGGGGGTCGGGGGGAGCCTGGATCTGCCATGCAGTCTTTTCCCTGTCCCAGACCCTGCCTGCCTGAAAACACCCCAGGGGACCTCCCCATCTGCACTTTTCAGCCTCTCGGCCTAAGTGTAGACCCCATACCCCCAAGTCCCAGCACCGTCATCTCTGCAGGTGCAAAGGAAGCCTGGGTTAGAACAAAAAGGGAAGGTGGAAAACGAGTCCACTTTTCTTGAGCCAAATTTGGAAAACATGCTGTGCAGTAGAAGCCAGCCAGATAAGAAGATGTCCGAGTCCTGCTTGCTGGGGCATCAGCGAGGAAGAACAGATTTCCACAGAGGGAGACAGTGCCCCAGGGTAGGGGAGAGTTCTCTACCAGGTGATCGATTCTATTAGTTAGCATCACAAGCCCGGCACTAGTTCTATGAAGCTAATGGGCGACCCAGGATAAAAGAAGTTTGCATTTGACATAACCAACATCATGTCTCTCCCTATTGTTGACAGCTTCCTACTCTACCCTTTGCCCCACTTCTGCTTCCCCATTGGTGTGACTTATTTTTGTCATTTGGTTCAGTCGGTAGAGCATGTGCCTCTTGATCTCGGGGTTGTGAGTTTGAGCTCCACACTGGGCATTGGGTTTACCTAAGAAGAGCTGCCTCCCGTAGGCAGAGAACTGCTTGATGTCCACCTCTTGGTAAACCAGACGCATTGGTATCTGACCTGCTGGGGGACAGGCAGGTGTCAGGGGGCAGGCCAGCCTGCCCCACTAGCTGCCTGAGTGGGGAGCTCAGCGGGCATGCCTGATCCCTGGAGATTCTGGTCTGTGCCTCTCAGACTTGGCCAGGACTGGTCTGTCTCAGCATGTATGAGTTCCTTTATTCATTCCCTGCTTCATTCATGTCCGCTTATGGAGCATGGCTATGTGCAAGGCCCGTAGGCAGAAATGGGTGTGACTTATGCCCCTGCCTTTGGGAAGGTCAGTGTCCTGTTATGGAGACAGACACCCAAACTGGTGGGCCACCCCATGGCAGTGTACTCAGCATGCTGGAGGAATGCGTGAACTCGGGAGTGGGAGGGGTACAGGGGCTGTGGTCATCTGGGAGGACTGCTGGGAGTGGGTGCTGTCTGATCCCGCATTTGGACTCAGCAGGCTAGGAGCTAAGCAGTGGGTGGACTGCTGTAGAGCAGAGCCGGATGCCTGTGGGAGGTGGTGCTGCTGGGAAGCCATCCCTCACCACAGCAGAAGCAGGCCCCACAGTGGCCCCAGTCTGTGGGCGGTCCCTTACAGCGCCCCAGCCTCCTCCCCAGACTGCTGCTGGCTTTTCTGGGTCTTTACCATCTAGGCCTTGGTAGGCCTTGGAGGCCAGGGTACAGCCAGGTGCCATGCATGCCTGAAGCTCCTGTGATTGGGGGACCCTCTGAAAGAAAAAGAATATAAAATTTAAAATGTAAAACCAGGACAAAAGTGAATATTAAATAAATATGAGAAAGAACGGGAAAATAAACCACAGAAAATTAAACACTTAAAAAAGCTGACATACCACACATATCACAAGCTCGGGAAAAACCACGTGATGATTTTAATTAACTGCTCAAGATGTCCCTGTAATACTTTTTTCCCCTGAATCTTTGGCCTCTGTACTTTTTGATAAGCTTTTCATGTGACAATGCATTTGTAAATGTCACTTTTTTTTTTTTAAAGACTTTATTTGTTTACTTGAGAGAGAGAGAGCCGGAGAGAGCTCATGCACACAGAAGGAAAGGGAGAGGGAGAAGCAGGCTCCCTGCTCAGCAGGGAGCCTAACGTGAGGCTTGATCCCAGAACCCTGGGATCATGACCTGAGGCCAAAGGCAGACACTTAACTGACTGAGCCACCCAGGTGCCCTGTAAATGTCACTTTCTAAGGAGAGAATAGAAAGATAACGGAATCTTCTCTAGTATGATTGATTGAATTTTTTTTCTCCAACATTTCATTGTGAAAAATCTCAGACCTGCAGAAGATGTGCCAGTATTATGCCGTGGACCGTTTGGATTGTATAGCCACTAACCTTTTGCTATATTTGCTTTAGCACATATCCACACATCTATTTTACCTCCTCATCTTTTTTTTAATGTATTTTAAACTAGATTGCAAACATTAGTGGCTTCCACCCCTAATTACTTCAGCATGCATGTAACTCAAATTCAAATGATACTTCTCTTTTATTCTTGGTAAATACTAACCAGAGCCCACTCCAGTGCCCACTAGCCTCCTGATGGGAGGCAAAGAGAGAAGTGGGGTGGGGGAGATCACCTAGGAGCTCAGCGCTCAGCCCTGGAGTGGGATACTTTAATTTCTAGGGTCAGCTCCCCTGAGCTAGGGACCCTGCCTTCTTCTCTTGCCCTTGGGGGGCCAGCTCCTACTCATAGGCCAGAACTATTTAAATGCCACCTCTTCCAAAAACCTTCTCTAACCCTGGCCTGCCCCAAGGGAGGTGCTCCTGAAGTCCCCCGACCCCCATGTGACAGCAGGGACTGCACCTCCTCATGCCCTCCCCCACCATTGTCTCTGCTGGGCTTCCAACCCATGAGGGGAGGCTTAGCCTGTCTTGCTCCTTACCTTGTCCTCCGTCCAGTGCCTGGCACAGAGCGGGTACTCTGTAAATATCTGTGGTCGGAGAGAGAGAGAAGGAAGGGTGCACATTCTAGGGAAGGAGGTATCATAGGTCTGAGGACAGACGGGCCACAGTGTGAATTTCTCTATTTGTGCCCCATCCCAGAATTGTGGTGGTCATGTTGTTGCGGCCAAAGCCCAGTGCTGGGCAGGGGTTAGCAGCCACCCCTTGCTGCGAGATCCCTGCTCACCCATCCCTCTGGCATCTCTTCCAGTGCCCCCGGGTCAATGGTGTCAAGGCACACACTAACCAGTGCAACCGGAGACGGGTGGTCCTGGACCTGCAGATATGGTGAGCCATCTTGCCCATGCGGGCCAGGTGCAGGGTACGGGGGACGCCGTGTGAGAACAGCCAGCTTGAAGATGGAGTAGTGTAGTTATGTTCTGATTTGGGGTGGGAAAGCGTCTCACAGTGCGTGTGCACGCGCACACATACACACACACACACACACACACACACACACCCCACCCTGGGCAGGAGCACAAGGTCCCTGCTTGGGACAGGAAAGAGTATCAGGAGAATGGACAGTCCCAGGGAAGCCACTGCTGGTTGACCCCTCAGCCCAGGCCCAGATTCTCCCATAAGAATTGGCACCAGGCAGGCTCTTGGATACCAAGGCCCAGGCAGCAGGGCTTTCTTGGAGGTCACGGCTAGTTACCCGGATGCTCAGACCAGCTGCCTTAAAGAGGATGTGGAAAGAGGGAGCAAGTACAAGAAGATGTGGGGACTTGTGGTAAGGTCCAGGGAGCTCTGAGCACAGGCTGTGAGATCCATGGGAGAACTGGACTCTGATGCGTCAGGAAAGCAAGGATGCAAAGACACATCCTTGTATCTGGTTCAGTAGGTTGGGCAAAGGTACCTCTTCTGAATGATGTTTGTAGCAAGCTGGAGTCTGAGAGAAGGGACATTCAATCCAGGAAGTCTTCCTGGAGGTGGTAAGGTTTTAATTGTGCTTTAAAGGAGCAAGGATTAGGGGTGCGTGGGTGTCTCAGATGAGAGTCCGGCTCTGTTTTGGCTTAAGTTATGATTTCAAGGGTGGTGGGGTCCAGCTCTGTGCTCAGTGAGGACTCTGCTTGAAGATTCTCTCCCTCTGCCCTTCCCCCCATGTACTCACTTGTTCTCTCTCTCTAAAATAAATCAGTTTAATAAATAAATAAATAAATAAATAACCAATGATTAACTCTGAAAGTTCCAGAATGTTGCATTCCTCTCCAGTGTCTTATTTTCATAGCCCAGAGGCTGGCACTGAGAGCATATCGGGTAGATAAGAGTCAGCTCTGGGAATACCTCTCCCCATCTGGGGGATGTGTGAGGATGATGGTTATTGGGCACGCCTGGCTCCAAGGCTCTGCCACCAGATCCACCAGGGTCCTCTGGCACACATGTAGCTTCTCAGCCAGCTCAGGCTTTGGGGGAGGCCATAGCCAGGTGATGCTGGGCTCAGGGTTGGTGACTGGATGCCTGAGCTTGGGCTATGTGGCCCTGGGCAAGTTTCCTGGTCTCTCTGACTGGTGGACCTGCCTTTCCTTCCGACCTTCCTTCTCCCTCCCCACTTTCAGCTACATCGGGGACTGTGAGATCAGTGCAGAGCTGCAGAAGATACAGGCTGGTGTGAATGGGATTCAGGTATGTGGAACCTGGTGGCACTGCCCCCCGCCCCTGCTTCCTGCCCCTGAGGCGGGAGGCTGGGCAGGGGGAAGCAGGCTCAAGCTGGAGCAGGCAGCAGGGAAGGGGAGGACACCACACATGGGCTGATCATCATCCAAAGACTCCAGGCCTGGTCACACGGCTGGAATGTGGTGACTGGGCTTTACCAACCTTCTGCTTGGCCCCGTGGCCCCACACCTGCCTCTGTAAGAGTCCCCCCAGGGGGGCAGGAGCTGCCAAGGGAAGGGAGACGTTCTATTTATGGAGTGATGCAGAGCCAGTGCTTAGAAACTAGGTGGACGGAGGTGGGGGAAGGAGCTTATGGCAGAGGTGGAGTACTGGCACCAGGGCCTGCCTGGCTGGGCTGGCTAGAGATTAGGGCAGGGCTGCAGCCGGCGCACTGGTGGATGGCAGGGGAGGCTAGCTCACGGCCCTTGGTAGCCGGTAGAGGGGTGGCAGCCATGTGCAGGTTTCTGTCCCCTGAGGTGGCCCTGACATTTGGGGGTGGCATGAGCAAGACAGGTGTCCTCGGCTGAGTACAGCAGGTGCAGGGAGAGGCTGAGGTCCTGCGTCCACCCTCTGTGCCCATCCAGTTGCAGGGCACGCTGCGGGTCATCTTAGAGCCCCTCCTGGTGGACAAGCCCTTCGTGGGAGCTGTGACCGTGTTCTTCCTTCAAAAGCCGGTGGGTGCCAAGGAGAGACCTAGGCCTGTTTTGGGGAGTAAGCACTCGCCTGCTGGGTCCCAGGTGCTGATATGAACCCAAGAATAGAACTGCCTACACCAATCTAGACCCGGGTACCTGTGCACGGCCCCACTCCTGTGTGGTCCCAGCAGGGAGGCAGCAGACTGAGGCCTGCGTAAGACTAAGAGGTGCCTTCATTTGCCTGACAACCCCCTGGAGGTGCCCCCCATAGTGGCTGTGTTCTACATGCTGGTGGGCGCCAGGGGCTTGGCGGAGGAACTCAGCCTTGGGCTTATGGCTTCTTCCGGTCTAACAGCCTCCCTCTGCCCCTGCAGCATCTGCAGATCAACTGGACAGGCCTGACTAACCTGCTGGATGCACCAGGAATCAAGTAAGTGTGCTGTGGGAACGGCGGGCAGACCCCCGGAGTGGGGCCCTCAGCAGTGGGCAGCCAGTGACTGGAGCTGCCCAGTAGCGGTGCCCTCCTTCTCGGCCCCTGCATGTAGACTGGGGCTGGCACCAAGCTGGTCCTGCTCCGGAGGGAGGAAGGGTGGTGGGTTTGGAGGGGGAGCAGGAGGCCGGCAGTGCTGCTTGGCCCCTGCGGGCAGGCGCTGCCCCCAGAACATGCACGCACACACTCAAACGCACGGGCACACGCTGGCCAGATGAGACGTCCTGAGGGAGGCCGTGGGGGCTACCGAGAGCATAGCCTCTGTAACCAGCCCCGGCCAGACCAGGCTCCTGGCTCGGTCACTCAGCACTGTATGATTTCAGATAATTTCTTGTACCCCTCTGGGCTCTTCCTCCCTGAAAGGGGATCCTGCTTCTTCTGTGTCATGGTTTTGGGAGAACACTCAGGTGTATGCGGTGGCATAGTGGGCATGGACACACATGATGTCCTCCTTGCAGCTGCACTCCCCTCCCCCAGCCAAGTGGGTGGTGAGAAGCCCACAAGGCCTCACCCAACCATGGTCACAGGGGGCTGCTGTCATAGCAGAGGCTAGTGAAGAGAAGCTGGTCTGGGAGATTTCACATTCCGGGGGCTGGATCTAGGGGCTGCTGCACGCAGGGCCTCAGGCCCCCAGGTAGGAGCAGAGGAGGGCTCTGACCCCACATGGACCCATGTCCCCATGAGGGAAGGATGGTTGGATTGACCAGGGCAAGCTGGGGCTTTCCAAGGTCAGGCACCTCCCCTCCCTGCAGGAGGGACCCCGGGCTCCCTCACTGAGGATGTTCTCCCCCCATCTTGGCCCCTTGGATTCAGAGAATCCACTTGTACGTGGTGTCGTTCAACAGATGTTTACTGAGTACCTACTGTGTGCTAGTCCTGTTCTCGGCACTATCCCTGCTGCTCTACTGGGGAGACAGAGTCAGGCAGTAAACAGAATTTTGATGGGATGTTAGGGAGTAGGAGGGCCACGGGAGCAAACACTTAGTTAGCACTTACTATGCACCGGGCACAATTCTCTGCACTTTCCGTGTTTTAAGTCCTTGTAACAACCCTAGGAGGTAGTGTTAATATCCTCAGTTTAGAGATGAGGAAACTGGTCCAGAGAAGTAAGCAACTTACCCAAGGCCCCACAGCTCATGGGCGATGGAGCCAAGATCGGCACACAGGCTCCAGGTCACCCCTCTTAGCTATTCCACTGTGATGCCTCAGAGAACAAAGCAAGATGGGGAAAAGTGGTGGTTGGGGGCTGTCAAAATGTAAGCCCACCTCCCCCCAAGCCAGGCAGGCTGGAGTCAGGGCTGGTTTCTCCTGGGCAGGGCCCAGCCCACCAACTCTGCTCCAGGTTCCAGTTCTGGGGCTGGGTGGCAGGGCAGGTAACCTGGGGAAAGGCAATGCCACCCCTCTACCGCTGGCCGTGCCCACTGTCCCCAGTGAGGTGTCAGACAGCCTGCTGGAGGAACTCATTGCTGCCCACCTGGTGCTGCCCAATCGTGTAACTGTGCCTGTGAAGAAGGGGCTGGACGTGACCAATCTGCTCTTCCCTCTGCCCTGCGTGAGTACCAGCACCAGCCATGGAGCACGGGGCCTGGGACTGAGGAATGGATGGGCTTGCAGAGGGAATGCATTCTCAGATGACAATTGTCTCTGTCCTGTGAGAGCATGGCTTCCTTATTCTATTTGGGGAAAACTGAATCTTGGGAAGGTTGACTGGTTTGCCCAAAGCCACCCATCTAGGGAGGGGCAGAGCCCAAGTGGCATTCCTTCCTGGATCCTGGTCCCAGCTGCAGCCTGGGTTGGGGACTGTGGGTAGTTACCCTCGCCCTGAGGAAACTCCAGGAGGCTCCCATCCTCTCTTCAAGGACATGAGGCTCCCCTGACTCCCATCATTTGGGGGTGGAAAGAATCCCTGGGAGAAAATACTGAGTCAGCACAGGATGGGGGGCTTTATTGTGTGCTCAGCCCCACTGCCTCCTCTATCCTGGGCCCCAATTGGGAGGCCTCTGAGGACAGACACATGGCCTCCCTACAGGAGGTGCCCTTCAGGACTGGCAGGGCTCAGGAGAGGGGGACGTGCCCATTTCACCATCAGCGCAATGTCGGAGGCATCAGCCTGCTGCAGCTGCACACAGGGGAGGCCTGGGCTGTCCAGGGAGACAGAGCACAGGCATCCTCACAGCCTTGCCATAGTGACGCAGGCTTTAGCCCGCACTGTGTGTGGCAGTCTTAGAATAACAGTTCAATACCATCACCTGCATCACCATTACTGAAAACAGTCTGTCCTTGGGGTAGATTCCCAAGATGTCCTGGGAAGCTGCTACGATTTAAACTCACTTGGGATAGTTTTGTGTATTTGTGACAACTGGCCATGAATATTTATACTGACTGGTTTCATTCTATTTTCTATTTTTAGGGCTTAATTTTGACCATAACTTCCTTTTACCACCGTGTAAAATATTTGCAAGCTTCTAAAATCTAATATAAAAAACAAATTCTGTTTCAAGGAATCTGACTTCTATCCCTTGTTCCCTCCACCTAACCTCTACCCTTCTCCTATAAGTAACGGTTTATCCTCCCACTGTTCCTTTTCTAATATGAGCAGTTGTGTGCATATCTAGTTACGTTCCCATTCCCCTTCTTTGATGGATGGCAATGGACTACAGTTTTCTCCACCTTGCTTTTATCACTCCGTACGTCACGGGCACCACTCAGTGACGGCATGGACAGGGCCCTTCTCCTCACAGCCACACTGTACTCCACGGCGTGAGTGTGCTGTATGTTACTTAGCTAGTTCTGATGGACAGCGAGTTGTGTCAGTCTTTCACTATTACCAATAGTGCTATCATGAGTAGCCTTGTATGTGTCTTTTTATATTTTTACCAGTGTCCTTTTAGAGCTAGCACTGGGATTGCTGGGTCAAAGGATAAATGGAAATGTATCTCCCGGTATTTTTTTCTTTTACTTTAATTCCAGTATAGTTAACATACAGTGTTAGATTAGTTTCAGATGTATAGTAAAGTGATTCAGCAGTTCAGCAATTCCTCAGCGCTTATCATAACTGTACATGTATCTACTGATATTAAAAAAAAAAAGAAGAAGAAGAAAAACAGTTCTAGGCAGGAGCCCTTACTGGCCCCATGAATTGTATTTCCTAAGTCTTGTGGTTTGTTCTGCCTTAGGACAAAGCTGAATGTGGGGATGAGGTGGGAGTCAGTGCGGGGCCTTTATGAGCACAGGGACCCACTGCCCACAGCAGGCAGTCCCCACAGGGGTGAGTACCCCTGGGTGTCAGAAAAAAAATGACTACATGCGCGTTATTGGGCGGGGTGGGGAGGGTGAAGAAAATAGGAGGAAACCTCCTCAGATGGTGGTTGTTGGCACAGGAGGAAATGGCTGCAGTTAAGCCAGTCACATGGCAGGTTGGAGCCAAGTGAGGTCAGGAAGGCCAGGAAGGTGGGCCGGGCATCATGATGCAATGGACAGAGCCCTAGCCCTGACATCACTTGCTGTGTGGCGAGGAGATTGCCAGATCTGGCTTCTGTTTTTCATCTGAACCTGGAGCAAGTGAGACGGGACTGGGATGATATCTGATGGCTTTGGCCCCAGTGCTGTGGGCCTTGAGGGCTGGCACAGCCCAGGAAGCAGCTGTGAGCCCTGGGCTGGGGCATTTTCCAGGGAGTGATCAGAGTCCATTTGCTGGAGGCTGAGATGCTGGCTCAGAAGGACAGCTTCCTAGGGATCCGAGGCAAGTCAGACCCCTACGCCAAGGTGAGCATTGGCCTACAGCATTTCCGGAGTAGGACCATCTACAAGAACCTGAACCCCACCTGGAATGAGGTATTTGAGGTGAGGGTCTCCTGGCTACTTTTGATGCCCTCCAGGCTTCATGCTGGGTCATGCTGGGTCCGAACAAGGGAGGGCCTCACGTACCCATGGGGCAACAGTAGGCCAGAGGAGTGGGCCGATTTCCCACATCCACCACATTCCAGAGGGGGGCTGCTGTGGCCCTGCTGGAGGGAAGTCCCACCTCCCTTCCCTACCAGACAGCTTGAAATTTTTCAAACCAGAGGAAAAGACAGAATCAGTTCTGCCCAGATCATCTCAACCTCCCCTGCCAGAGCCTGACACCAGGAGCTTAATGTTCTCCCTTAAATTCACCCACAATCACTACTACTTGAAAGGTAGTACGCACAGCCTGTTTAGTGCTCCAGAAGCTGTGAGTCCCGTGCAGAACACACAGCAGCCACCATCCCGAGCACCCACCCTAATCCTCCCCATCCTGCGAGAGGACATCACTCCATTCTTAGAGGTGGGATTCTCCAAAAGCACTGGAAGGCAGGAATACGCCCAGGGCTCTGCACCGGCAGGTGGCAGAGCTGGAATTTGGCTCTCCTTGGGTCATGCTTGAGGTCTGCTTCATCAGCCATTGTGGGCTGCAGACCAAGTCACCGGTCTTTCCTTACAGTTTATAGTGTATGAAGTCCCTGGGCAGGACCTGGAGGTGGACCTGTATGATGAAGATCCTGACAGGGATGACTTCCTGGGCAGGTGAGGAGGAGGGCTGAGCTGGGCCTGGGGGCACTGGGCTGGCCCTTGGGACACAATACCCCTGTTTCCACCTCAGTGACCTGCAATCCTGGCTTGGTTACACTGACACAGTGACTGTGTTAGGCAGCCGGCTCCATTGTTTCACGGTCCTACTGCTAACCTCCTTCCTAGAGGTCTGAGTGCCAGCCTTAAGCTGGGCCATGGGGATACTGAAGACCCCAAGGTCTGTGTACCATGGGCTCTGCTTCCTGCACTCCTAATGATATACAAGAGTCCCCATTTGGAACAGTCATAGGGGCAAGGCTGGCATGGATGGGCAGGTCCCCTGTGCCAAGGAGCCCTGGCCACTTCCTCTGGAGCAGAACCCAAACTCAGGGCTGTGGGAGAACTGAAATGGCTAGGCTGGGGCTGGCTGTAGAAACTCCAAATTTATATGTGTCTTGGCCCATTTGCCCCACTTCCAGGAATCTCCCGTAAAGTAAAAGCATTATACCTGAAATGCTCTACAATGAGCAGAACTGTGGTGGCAAAACAAAAAAGGCTGGAAACATGAATAGTCCAGCGTCAGAGGACATTGGTTGAAAATGTTTGAATAAATTTGCCATTGCCAAACTACAGGATATTCTGCCGCTTTTTTTTTTTTTTAAGATTTTATTTATTTGACAGGCAGAGATCACAAGTAGGCAGAGAGGCAGGCAGAGAGAGAGAGGAAGGGAAGCAGGCTCCCCATGGAGCAGAGAGCCTGACGCAGGGCCGGATCCCAGGACTCTGAGATCATGACCTGAGCCAAAGGCAGAGGCTTTAACCCACTGAGCCACCCAGGCGCCCCTAATTCTGCAGCTTTAAAAAATGATGAGTAGAAGGATCTGTGTGTATTGACCTGGAGGATGGCAGTATGGGGGTGGGGGAAGCAGGTGGAAGTGACCTGTGCAGTTTGATTCATTTCTGCAGGGAGGACTCTTGAGTACGGGTCTGTGTGAGCAGAGAAGAGCACGGAAGCCACACAGCAGGCTGTTCACACTCTTCATTCCAGGAGGTTGGGATTGGGAGGCAGAAAAGAGTTTTACCCAAATTTTCACACTGCTGTATTGTTTAGCTTGTTTCCATGAGCAGGTAATTTTAAAAGTAGAAACAATGAAAAGTGTGAGGGACATGATCTGACAGCCTAAGAAACAGCTTACCACCAGATATTACTTTTCTTTTCATCTTAATGGAAAAAGCTGCAGGTTTTGTATTGTTGCAGATTAGAAGTGTGGCTTGTAGTTGATGTTGTAACTGATTTCGAGTGTGTTCTGAGCTCAAGCACATTTCTAACACCTACACAGTCACTCCGCTGGCTGTCGGGATCATCTATTTGGGCTTGGGTCGGGTAGGTGGAGGCACGCTGTGAGTGTGGCCGGTACCTCCTCTCACACCCATGCCAACTATACTTAACCCTTGGAGGGCATCTGGGGAGGTGCTGGAGGGGTATTTGGGGTTGTTACAATGACTGTGGAAGGTGGTGCCACTGGCATTTAGAGGGCACAGGACAGGGAAGCTAAATTCCTGCAATGCATGGGCAGTTTTGCACAATGAAGAACCATGCCATTCAAAACACCAGTAGTACCATCACAGAAATCCAGGGCCAGTGTGTCCAGTGTCTGGTCATTCTCCTCTGGGGATCGGAGCCACATGCCTGCCCAGGCAGTAGCCCTGATGGTCAGATAGGCCTTCATTTGTTTGAGCTACAAGTGGTCTCCCATTGGTTCCTTGAGATGGATTAGCTCCTGTCTTGAGGACCGCACTCACATCTGCTTCTTGCCTCCTTGGAGCTGAACTGACTTCCTGTGTATTCCAGCTTGCAGATCTGCCTTGGGGATGTCGTGACGAACAGAGTGGTGGATGAGGTAGAGTTGGTGCCTAGCCCCCTCCCTGTGGACATCCTGGTTTCCATCTGTCCATAGGAGGACAGAAGCAATTCTGTGACCACCTCTCCCGGTCCCTCAAGCCCAGAGCCCATCCCCTCTGGGCTGGGTCACCTTTTCCCTAAAGCCACCTCTTAAAGGCCCCTGAACTGAACTGCTTGAAGAGGGTCTGTAGCACCTCAGTGGCCCTTTCTCTGAGCTTTCCTCTCCCTTCTCACTCCCTGCTTACAGTGGTTTGTCCTGAACGACACAACCAGTGGGCGGCTGCACCTGCGGCTGGAGTGGCTTTCACTGACTGCCAACCCAGAAGCTCTGATTGAAGTGAGTGTGGGGTGTCAGTGCTCCCTAAAGGAAAGTTGTGTGGGTGTGGTGGCACGGGGGTGGGACTTGTGGCACGGCCGGTCCATGTGTGAGCTGTGGAAGGGGACGAGATGAAGCCTCCAGATCTCACTCACAGAATCCTCCAGCCAGCCCCTACCTTCTGCTGAACCTGTCCCTTAGCCTCATCTCCACACAGGGCAGCTCCTGATCTCTCAGCAGAGACTGTCTGCCCAGGGAAGATGGGATCCTTAAAGGATGCTGGTGCTGGTCCGCCCAGTTCATGGGGAAGTCCACCCCTGTGTTTTACTTGAATCTGTCCTGCTGCAGATGTAAACACAGTCTCAACAAAAAGCTAGGCTGTGGGGAATCTTAGGGCTTGTCCAGAGTGCAAGGGGTGGCTGGCTTCCTTCTGCCATGAATGGGCTTCTCCAAAGCCAGTCTGTCTCCTGATGCTGCAGCACTTACTGAGGGTCTGTGTCTGTTTGTAGGACCAAGGTGGCCTTTCAACTGCCATCCTTGTGGTCTTCTTGGAGAGTGCCTGCAACCTGCCGGTGAGTGACGACATGACCAATGTCACACCCTGCCTTGTGCCCATAACTTGCAAATGTCCAAGTGTCATTCATTTATTCTCTTCTTCGTGTGCTATAGAGAAACCCTTTTGACTACCTGAATGGTGAATATCGAGCCAAAAAACTCTCCAGGTTCACCAAGGTAAGTGAAAGCAAGTCACGGCTCCTTTTCCCCAGAGTAACCATAGCCTTGTCTTCTGGGTGATCATCTGTGCACCCACAGCCTACGGATGACAACAGTGCCATTCATTAAGTCTGCTGTGTGCCAGGCACTGGGCTTTACAACTTGTCCCCGACATTTATTATGCCTGAGTCTCATGATGAGTGTGTCTGTTTTTGCCATTTTACAAGTAGCACCCAGAAGGTTAAGCACCTGAGTCACAAGCTAAAGAGCCAGAACTTGACCATTTCCATAGCCCCAGGGAACAAGAGCCTGTGCTGAACCAGGCCTAGCTCCCGGGTTCCTGTCATGAACTTGAAACCTCTCCTCCAGTTAGCCCTATCCTGGTCCTTGCACAGTTTTGGCAGCCCAGGGCCCTGGGAGCATCACAGTAGCTTTCTTCTGAAGGGAAGCAGTTGGTTGGCCCCAGGTCCCACTGAAGCTCTGGGAGCTGGGAGGTACAGTGGGGTGGTGTCTCAAGCCAGTGGTGCCACTTCCATTGCTGTGGATTTGTCCCTCACAGAACAAAGTCAGCAGAGACCCTTCTTCCTATGTCAAGCTATCTGTAGGCAAGAAGACACACATGAGCAAGGTAAGACAGCTTGGTGTGTATCCATGGGACAAAGAACCAGGGGCTCCACGCCTTTTCAAGGAGAGAAGAAAAGGTAAGGGAATTAGAGAACTGACTGCTTGGTAGGTGCCAGGTTACAACTGGGGCACTTTGTCTTCAGAACAGCCTTACTAAACAGTTCTATGCTTTAAGAATCTGAGGGTCAGAGATGACTGATTTGCCCAAGGGCACCTGCTAGAAAGCAGCAGAAATCCTGTTGGTCCCCTCTCCTGGAAGTGAGCTCTAATGCTGCTGCTATGCTTTTCAGCTCCTGCAAAACTGGCTGGGAAAGCTCTCCTTGTCTTAAGTCTGGCTGCCCTGCTCTCATGCGTCCCCTAAATGGCAGTGTGACGGGGTCTGATCCCTGGGCAGAGGCTGAGAAGGCTCCCATCAGGTGGCCAGCCGAAAGCAGAGGGTCTGTGTCTGTTTGTAGCAGTATCCTGCTCTGCCCCTCTTGACCCTTCAATGATCTTTCTCTCTTCTGTCCCCAGACTTGTCCCCACAGCAAGGACCCAGTGTGGAGCCAGGTGTTTTCCTTCTTTGTGTCCAACGTGGCAGCTGAGAAGCTGCATCTGAAGGTTTGAAAGTTGGGCTCTTGGAACAAAGTTAATCAGTGTCTAAGCCATGAAGAGTAGGGAGCTTGATAATGCACCTTGAACAGGTTCTCCCAGCAGTAAAGTCAGCCCCTTTTCTGTGGGAGAGGGTGCAGAGGTCCCTCATCGTCATAAGCCTGGTGCCCAAGGACAATGGGTAAGAGCTTGGAAGGACAAACCCTCAAGTCCCTTGGCTCTCCCTGCAAGAATCTTTCCAGTTGTTACCCAGCACCCAGAGTGGCCTATGTTGGGATCCTCCCAGGATCTTAGTGATGATATACTTCTTTAAACAATAATTTAGCCTTCACAAAAGATCTGTGGAAAAGAGATAGTTTCTTTATTTTACACATAAGCAAACAGAGGTGCAAACAGTGACTTAGTCAAGAAATCTTAACAAAAAGGCAGATCTGGGATCTTTTCAGGCCCTTAGCCCATCAGTCCCTAAAGCCCCTGAGGCCCTGGGCATTTGCCTCATAGAGATCCAGCTGCCAGGTTTTCAGAACAGGACCAGAGGCCAATAGAAGCACAGTACTCGCTTACTGAAGTGAACGTAGACTTGAATGGGGCCCAGAGAGTGGTGGTGGTGGGTGTGGGTCTTGGTTCTCCTGTTTTGTGACTGGCCCACTGCCCAGGTGCTTGATGATGACCAAGAGTATGCTCTGGGAGTGCTGGAGATCCCCCTGTGCCAGATTCTACCCTATACAGACCTCACCCTCGAGCAGCGCTTTCAGTTGGACCACTCAGGCCTGGACAGCCTCATCTCCATGAGGCTGGTGCTTCGGGTAACTATCTCCTCTTATTCCCCATGTTCCATGGCTCTGGCCATGGACAAGGCAGACTATCTCAGAACTAAGTACCTGCTCTGTGCTGAAAAGCTAGGAAGTAGATTTATATTTTTCATCAACTTTGGAATATTGTCAGCCGTTATCTCTTCAGATATTGGCTCTCCATTCTTTTAATCTTTAATTCTAGAACTCCTACACTGGACCTTTTCCCCATCTCTTCTGTCTCCACCTGACCTCACTGTCTCTTAGTGCTACATTCTGATTTCCTCAGATCTGTCTTCTAGACCACTAATTCTTTTAACTATTCATGGTTTTTATTTCAAAGGCTATTTTCTATTTCTATCTTTTCCAAATTCATTGTCTTTTTTTACTCTATTTTATTATCATGCTTATCATGTCTTTTTTCACTGTATTTTATTGTCATGTTTATCATGTTTATATTCTATCTTTAACCATCTGAAAATATCTATGCTATAATGTACCTATAATGTGAATTCTATTATCTGAAGATCTTGAGAATTGAGATTTTGACATTTGTTGTATCTGTTGATGCTTTTTCAGGGTGACTCATTTCTATGTTTGGTGACTTAGGTTGCAAACATATGTTGTGTTCTTTTGTGACCTAGATTGAGTTTGCTTGCTTCCAAGGAGATTCTGTTTTGCTATAACCATGTACCTTGAGAGCCTTACAAACTAGGGTCCACTCTTACGTTAATTTTTAAACTTTTAGGTTTCATGATTCCACAGGTATGAATATGAACCAAAATTCATATAAGACAGTCCTATAAGGTGCCATATCCTCAGGAAAGTCTTCAGTACCCCCAGCAGAGTACAAGCAAGATGGACTTATTTCTTTGCAGTCTTTCCTTGAGCAGGGTGGAAATGTTTCTCCTAGACTACTTTTTTCCCCTAAAGAGACCCCACCTTCATGGTTCCTACTCCAACTGAGCCTCACATTGACCTGAGGCCTCTTCTCCCCACCCCTTGGATTTTTCAAGGTTGATAAATGACCCTAGGAAAGCTTAGCCTTTTTCAGTAACCCTAGGGGTTTTCCTTACTTTCTTGTAAATTTGGCTATGCATTTTTTTTTTTAACATTTTATTTGACAGCCAGCCAGAGAGGGAACACAAGCAGGGAGAGTAGGAGAGAGAGAAGCAGGCTTTCCCCCGAGCAGGGAGCCCCATGTGGGCCTCGATCCCAGGATCCTGGGATCATGACCCAAGCAGAAGGCAGCCACTTAATGACTGAACCACCCAAGTGCCCCTTGGCTGTGCATTTAAAAAGGATGTTTGTTTCATTTTATTAGTCATTCCTACTGAGGCTTTTCAGAATAGAATATTTTGACCATTATAGTGTTAGAAATGGAAGTTCCTAGAAATGGTCTTGATGACTGAGAGGGAAGGAGAAACACAATGGTTGAGGTTTGAAACTTTGTAGGAGCACAGGGGTGTGTGTGGAAACACATTTTGGGAAAACAGTGGTGAATAGGGTGACAGCTGGAAAAGGGCCAATCCAGAAGGCAGGGTGTGATATCTGTGAAGGTGGTGTAGATTCTGAGAGTCCTTTGCAGAGAGGGACAGTACCTGCTCTAAGAATGAGCCAGGTCTCTGCCAGCCAGTGAGTGGGGGCAGGACTGAGTGCTCATGAAGACTAACTATTGAGGTAGGAATAAGGGAAAAAGAGAGAAATTGGTTATAGGGACCCAGGGTCAGGGAGATATGGGCGGGGAAGGGGGTAGAAATCCACTGGGTTGGGTAGTCAGGAAGGAACCACTTCCCAGAAATTAACATGACAGCAGAGGAGGAGAAAGTGGATATGGGGGGCCCAGCCCATAATCCTGTCATCTGCTTGCAGTTCCTGCGTGTGGAAGAACGAGAGATGGGGAGCCCATACACAGGACCTGAAGCCTTAAAGAAAGGTCCTCTGTTCATTAAGAAGGTGGACACCAACCAGGAACCCAAAGCCCCATTCCAGGGAGAATGCCCTGCAAATTTGCCATGCCCCCCAGATCCTGCTTCTGATACCAAAGAAACCTCCAAGAGCTCCATGTCAGCCACCAGTGCCACTATTGTTGCCACTGAGCCCATGCCCCAAGAGACAGGCCCAGAGCCCAAAGGCAAGGACCATGCCAAAGGGTTCTGTGAGTCCTTGGGGAAGAAGAGTTCGGGCACCATCTTCCTGACTGTCCCAGGCCCCCACTCTCCAGGGCCCATCAAGTCACCCAGACCTATGAAATGCCCTGCCTCCCCACTCGCATGGCCGCCCAAGAGGGTGGCTCCCAGCATGTCCTCGCTCAACTCCTTGGCCTCCTCCTGCTTTGACCTGACAGATATCAGCTTCAACATTGAGTATGCACCTCTCTGCTTCATCTTGTCTAAAACGACCTGTGTGAAAAATACATTCCTGAATGGAGAAGTAGATACAAACCCACGTTTCTCAGCAAGTTCTGATCGTTTACAAAGTGGCTTCATGAGAGGCAGCATGGAATATGCTAGAAACACAGGGCAAGGGGGAGAGCAAGCAAGTGCATTCCCACTGTAAAACAGGTGCTGGGCTTTGGTTGTTATGGTTCCTTACCACAGAAACACTTCCTGCATTCCCAAGTGTGGGATGCTGTGGAAAACTTAGAATGTGAAATAGATCCTCAATGACTGCCATTTATTGTTAACTCTGAGCTTAGCATGCTATTTAATTCCATCTTCACAATTACCCTATGAGATAGAAGTTAATATCATAAAGGTCAAATAACGAACCAACAGTCTCACAGGAAATCATGGTAGAAAAGCAGATCCCACTCCTGGGTTCATGTTCTTCCTACTGTGAAGTAGGACAGTCACATGTGAATGGATAGAATGGACTTCTGCCTGAAAGGAACCTTACTGATAATTATTAACCCACATGGCTCTATGCTCCGAAAGCAGGACATGCTTCTGTCTCAGGGGCTGGGGGAGAGGCCAACACCTTTAATGGCAACAGAAGTAACAAGCCTTTCTTTACAGAGGCGGGGATCTCAGGCAGTGGAGGCTGGGTGAGATTCAGCTCACTGTGCGTTATGTGTGTCTGCGGCGCTGCCTCAGTGTGCTCATCAATGGCTGCAGGTAATGGGGTGCTGGGGCAGGGCAAAGGCCTCAGGTGAATGAAAGAATGGGGGTGGGCATCCCTGAGGTAGACAAGTAATACATGAGGAAGAAGTGAGGTTTGAAGGCTGCATGCTGTGAATGACAAGGTCTGCAGTGATGCTGATGGGCAGGCTCCAGAGCCAAGAACTTTGTTTAAATATAACTACTGCATAAAACTGTCTGGGGTGACTTGGAGCCAGTACCTTTTCTCAAGTGTGAATCTCCAATTTCCTTTAGATGGGAAGTACTTGCTCTACTCCAGACTTTAAAAAACACATGTTTTCAAAATCCTGCTTCTGATGTTTTATCCTCCAAATGCTGCAGACTTCTGTTTTTTGGTCATCAACAGGGCATTTTTATCCACAAGCCATCTAAAGCTGAAGGGCTAGTACAGCCTCTCCAATGGAGTCCTTTCAGTGTTTGAAAACTTTCTTCTTTAATGTCTTTGAAACCAAATCAGAAACCTGACACCCTGTACCAGCAGTGGAGCTGATCCGTATGTCCGTGTCTACTTATTACCAGAAAGGAGGTGGGCAAGTCGTAAGAAGACCTCAGTAAAACGGAAGACCCTGGAACCCCTGTTTGATGAGACGTGAGTGAACCAAACTCCCCTGCCTATGGAGTGTCTTCTCATCCCTTCAAGTATTTGCTGAGTGCCTGGCAAATCTGCCAGACGCTGTGAAGGGCTAAATCTGTGGGCCTCAGGATAACATGTTCTACGCCTTCATGAAATTTCTTTACATTAATGGGAGAAAAGGACTGCCAGGGCAGTTTAGCAAAACAGCTACCAACTTTTCTTGCTCATAGAGGCTAAAATGCTCCTGATTATGAACTGCTCCACACTTTTTCTCTTTAAATGAAGCCTCTTTAGTGGTAAAAGGATTTAAATCTGGCCAAATATGTTTTCTTTAACTCTGTTAAAAGTAACAGTTAAAAATAAAACATATCTTAAAAACGTATCTTAAGGGGTGCCTAGGTGGCTCAGTGGGTTAAGCCTCTGCCTTTGGCTCAGGCCATGATCCCAGGGTCCTGGGATCGAGCCCCACATCGGGCTCTCTGCTCCGCAGGGAGCCTGCTTCCTCCTCTCTCTCTCTGTCAAATAAATAAATAAAATCTAAAAACAAACAAAAAAAACAAAACATATTTTAAACCCAGAGACCTAAAATTTCCTCAAAGCTCCAAGCTCTGTGGAAGCTCTGTCTTCCTTCCTGCAACAAAGCATAGGCAGCAAGTTGAAACAGATGTCCTTCCTGACTTGTCCACCCAGTGTCCTTAGGTGCATGACTGATAGAATCTAATCACATTTCTTGCTTTTGATGGGTCACGTATGGCAAGTTTTATGTGAAATATTCTGTACGTTGAGGTCAACTTGAAGTCAAGAAGTCAAAATCTCATTATTGCTTCCTTCTGCTTCAGCATCCTAACAAAAGGCATCTGGGGGATAATACACCTGTTAATTTTGATTTCCTCTTATCTTGGTCAGTAATTACTCATTTTAAAAGAGCTGCACTGGGTCCTCTTTGGGCCTTGTCTAAGAACTAATACATTCCCTTTAAGAGCTTCACTTGGAGTTGATATCAAGAAAGAGTTTGGGAGAGAATCTATTATTTATAGAACACCTTATGCCAGGCACCATCCTATATTCTAGAGCCACACAAGTAGAAGACTTTGCACTCAAAGAGAGCTATGACACAATTATAAAAGGATTTCATAATTGCTATGTGAGAACACAAGAGGGAGAGGTTTGACATTTGGCTTTTGTGATAAACCTGATCTGTTAGTAATTCTCTCTCAATATTATAACAATAAGATATGGCCAGGTTATCTGGAGGGCAGACTTGGCAACCTCCACCCTAACAGTAAACCTAGAAGTAAGGAGCCTGGACACCTCTTGTGAGTGGATGACCCATACTAAGACACATTATAGTTAAAATGTCAAATGTTAATGGTAAAGGGAGAATCTTAAAAACAAGAGAAAAACTTGTTACATATAAGGGAACCCCTTTAGACAACCAGAAGATTTTCCAGCAGAAACTTTGCAGGCCAGAAGGGATTGGCCCGATATAGTCAAAGTACCAAAAGAAAAAACTCCCAACCAAGAATACTCTACCTGGAAAAACTGTCATTAAGAATTGGAGAGACAGAAGTTATTATCACTGGACTGCCTTTAAGGGACTTTGTAAGCTGAAAAGAAAGACTGCTAATTAGTAACAAGAACACATATAAAGGTATAAATCTCACTGGTAAAGGCAAATATATAGTAAAGGTAGTGGATTAATCACATATAAAGCCAGTATGAAGGTTAAAAAACAAAAGTACTAAAAATAACTATCGCTATAGTGATATAGGGATATAATCTATAAATGTGGCAGGGCTAGGTGGAAGCTTTAGAATCTTTTTAAAAAATATTTATTTATTTAACAGATAGAGATCACAAGTAGGCAGAGAGGCAAGCAGAGAGAGGGGGGAAGCAGGCTCCCTGCTGAGCAGAGCCCGATGTGGGGCTCGATCCCAGGCGCCCCTAGAATCCTTTCACACTTAAGATATTATCAACTTAAAGAAGTCCATTCTATGTAAGCCTCAGTGTAACCACAAAGCAGTAACCTGCAGTAGGTACACAAAACGTAAAAAGAAAGTAATCTAAGCGTACCACTAAAGAAAGTCCTAAAACTACAATGGAAGAGAACAAAAGAAAGGAATAGAAAGGGACTACAAAACTGCCAGAAAAGCACAAAATGGCTTTGAGTACTATTAATATAAACTATCAATAGTTACTTTAAATATAAAACTCCAATCTAAAGACACAGAGTGGCTAAAAGGATATAAAAAAACAAGACCCATCTATGTGCAGTCTGTAAGATACTCATTTCACACACAAATTGATAGTAAAGGGATGGGAAAAGATATTCTAAGGAAATAGAAACTAAAAGAAAACTGGGGTAGCTATACTTCTCTCAGACAAAATAGACTAGAAAACAAACACTATAGGGGCACCTGGGTGGCTCAGTCGATAAGCATCTGCCTTCAGCCCAGGTCATGATCCCAGGGTCCTGGGATTGAGCCCTGCATCAGGCTCTCTGTGCAGTAGGAAGCCTGCTTCTCCCCCTCCCACTCCCTCTGCTTGTGTTCCCTCTCTCACTGTGTCTTTGTCAAATAAATAAATAATCTTAAAAAAGAAAAAAAAAAAACACTCTTAAAAAAGAAAAAAAAAAAAACACTATAATAAGAGATGAAATGGGCATTACATAACAATAAAGAAGTCAATCCCATAAGAGGATATAACATTTACAGATATTTATGCATCCAACGTAGGAGCAGCTAAATACATAAATATTAATAGACCTAAAGGAAGAGATAGCAATACAATACTAGTAGGGGACTTTAATACCCCACTTACATCAATGGTAGATCATCCAGACAGTCAATAAGGGCATAGCAGCCTTAAATGACATTTTAGACCACTGGGATTTAACAAATAGATACATAATATTTCATCCAAAAGCAGAATATACAGAATATATGTTCTTTCCAAGTGTACATGGGACAATCTCTAAGATCATAAATTAGTCACAAATTAGTTTTCTTAAATTTATTAAGACCTGTAATTTTTATCAAGCATCTTCTCTGACCACAATGGTATAAAACTAGAAATGAAGTACAATAAACAAACCAGAAAATTCACAGTTTGTTACAATTAAACACCATGCTATTGAACAACCAACAGGTCAAAGAAGAAATATCTTCAGACAAATGGAAAATACAACTTGCCAAATTTGTGGAATGCAGCAAAAGAAGTTCTAAGAGGAAAATTCATAGTAATAAATGCCTACATCAGTAAACAATCAAAATCTCAAACAACCTCAGTTTATATCTCAAGGAACTATAAAGAATGAAGAAAGCCCAAACTTAGCAGAAGAAAGGAAATAAAGATCAGAACAGAAATAAACTATAGAAATAGAGACCAAGAAAATAGAAACTAAAATTTGGTTCTCTAGAAAGACAAAACTTTCTTTAGTTTCCAGTCATTAAGACTCCTCAAGAAAAAACACAAAATCAGAAATGAACGAGACATAACATACCACAGAAGTATAAAGGATCATGAGACCACTCTGAACAAAATTATATGCTAACAAATTTGACAAGCTAGAAGAAATGGGTAAATTCTTAGAAACATACAACCAAGACTGAATAATGAATAAAAAATCTGAACAGACCAATTACTAATAAGGAGACTGAATCAGTAATCAAAAATCTCCAAACAGAAGCACCTGCGTGGCTTAGTTGTTAAGTGTCTGCCTTCAGCTCAGATCATGATCCCAGGGTCCTGAGATCCAGCCCTGCATTAGGCTCCCCACTCCCAGGAAGGCTGCTTCTCCCTCTCCCATTCCCCCTGTTTGTGTTCCTTCTCTTGCTGTGTCTCTCTCTCTGTCAAATAAATAAAATCTTTAAAAAAATAAAAATCTCCCAACAAACAAAAGTCCAGGACCCAATGGCTTCACTAGTGAATTCTACCAAACACTCAAACAATACCAATCCTTTTCAAACTCTTCAAAAACAAACAAAAACAACAGCAGCAACAAAAAACAAACAGAAGAGGGAACACTTCCAAACTCATTTCACAAGGCATTACCCTGATATCAAAACCAACAAGGATACAAGAAAAAATTACCCTCTATGAACATAGATGCAAAAATCTTCAACAAAATATTAGAAAGCTGAATTCTATAATAAAAGGATCATACATCATGATCAAGTGGGGATGCAAGGATGATTCAGTATCCATCTGCAAGTCACTGTAAATCATCAAATTAACAAATCTTATGTTCATCTCATTGGATGCAGATAAAACATTTGACAAAATTCTACATCCATTTATGATAAAACTGTCAACAAAGTGGGTATAGGGGGAACATATGTTAACATAATAAATGTCATAGGGGACAAGTCCACAATTAACATGATAATCCAGGGTGAAAACCTGAAAGGTTTTCCTCTAAGATCAGAAACAAGACAAGGATGCCTATTCTTGCCAGCTTTTTAGTTTTGGAAGTCCTCGTCAGAGCATATAAGCAAGAAAAAAAAGGCGTCCAGATTGAAAAGGAAGAAGTAAAAGTATCACTGTTCACAGATAACATGACATTATAGAAAACCCTAAAGAGTGCACCAAAAAACCATTAGAACTAATCAACAAATTCAGTAAAGCTGCAAGATATAAAATATATAAAAATCTGTTGTATTCTACACACTAAAAATGAATTATTAGAGAAATTAGAATATAATTCCATTTATAGTTGCATCAAAAAGAATACCTAAATATAAATTTAACCAAGGAGATGAAAGATCTGTACATTGAAAGCTGTAAGACATTAATGAAAAAAACTGAAGACAACACAAATAAATGGAAGGATAGTTACTTCTCATAGAATGGAAGAATTAATGTTGTTAAAATGTCCATACTACCCAAAGCAATCTACAGACTTAATGCAATCTCTTTCAAAATTCCAATGGCATTTTTCACAGAACAAATACTAAAATTGGTGTGGAACAACAAAAACCCCAAAGTAATCTTGAGAACAAAGCTCAAGGAATTACACTACTTGATATAAAACTCTGTTAAAAAGCTATAGTAATCAAAGCAGTATGGTTTGGGCATAAAAACAGACACAAAGATCAATGGAAGAAAATAGCTTAGAAATAAACTGGCACATACATGGTCAATTAATTTTTGACAACAGTCAATTAATATGACAACTTATACAATGGGGAAAGGACTGTTTCTTCAATAAATGGTGCTGGGAAAACTGAACAGCCACATTTAAATGAGTGAATGAAACTGGACCACAATCTAACATTATACACAAAAAATAAACTCCATATGGATTAAAGACTTGAATGTAAGACCAAACCATAAAACACCTAAAAGAAGATATAGGCAATAAGCTCCTTGACATTGAACTTGATTTTTTTTAACTTGACACCAAAAGCAAAGGCAACAAAAGAAAAAATAAGTGAAACTACCTCAAACTAAAAAGTTTCTGCACAGGCAAAGAAAACTTAACAAAATGAAGAGGCAACCTACTGAATGGGAGAAAATATCTGAAAACCATTTATGTGGTAAGGGGTTAATATTCAAAATATCCAAAGAACTTACACAATTCAAAAGCAAAAAAAAAAAAAAAAGGTCTGATTTAAAGATAGAGAACCCGAACAGACATGTTTCCAAAGAAGACATACAGATGGCCAACAGACACATGAAAAGGTGCTCAATATCACTAATCATCAGAGAAATGCAAATCAAAACCACAGTGATCTATCACCTCATATCTATTAGAATGACTATTACCAAGTGTTGGTGAAAATGTGGAGGAAGGGAACCTTGTGCACTGATCGTGGGAACATAAATTGGTACAGGCACTATGGAAAACAGTGTGGAGTTGCATCCAAAAATTAAAAATAGAACTACCATATGATCCACTAATTCCACTTTTGGATATCTATCCAAAGAAAATGAAAACACTAATTCAAAAGCACATACATACTCCCATGCTTGCTGTGACAGTATTTACAACAGCCAAGACATGGAAGCTACTTCAGTATCCACTGATGGATGAATGGATAAAGAAAATGTGGCATATACACAATGGAATATTATTTAGCCATAAAAAATCTTGCCATTTGCAGAAACACACAGATGGACCTTTAGGGTATTATGCTAAGTGAAATAAGTCAGACAAAAAAATTCTTACTGTATGATCTCACTTATATGTGGAAATCTAAAAGAAACAAAAACCCATAAAAGAGCAAACAAAAGGGGCGCCTGGGTGGCTCAGTGGGTTAAGCCGCTGCCTTCGGCTCAGGTCATGATCTCAGAATCCTGGGATCGAGCCCCGCATCGGGCTCTCTGCTCAGCAGGGAGCCTGCTTCCTCCTCTCTCTCTGCCTGCCTCTCTGCCTGCTTGTGATCTCTCTCTGTCAAATAAATAAATAAAATCTTTAAAAAAAAAAAAAAAAAAAAAGAGCAAACAAAAGATGCCAAGCTCCTGAATATAAAGAACAGATTGGTAGTTGGTGTGTGGCGGGAGGGAGGGGAGGGGTAGAGATAAGGGGTCAGGTCAAATGGAACAAATTTCCATTTATAAAATGATGTAATGGGGATATAATGTACATATTGGTGATCCTATTTAATAATATATTACATATTTGAAAGTAGCTAGGAGAGTGCATCTAATAAGTTCTCATCACAAGAAAAAAATTTTTTTAACTATGTATAGTGATTGATGTTGACTTACAGTGATCATTTTGCAATATATACAAATATCAAGTCATTGTTAAACACTTGAAACTAATGTTCCCTTACCTCAAAAACAAAAAAACAAAAAACTACCTATAAGGATTCCAGTGGCCTCTTGTGAGTTTATGACAAAGATTGTACCCTAAGATTTCTCTGCCTTACTCCACAGGCAGAAAGGGGAAGGTCCACTGTTTTCTATGAAGCTCCAATACACCTGACTATTCAGCATCCTAGTCCTTAGCTGGTCAGAAAAAACAAGAGAGATAGGGGTTGAGGTGGTCCTATGAGCAAGCACTGTTGAAGGGGCAGCTAAAATAAAGGCAGCCAGGGTAGGCTCAGAGAAAGTAAGAAACCCCAAAATATAGTAGTTCAAGCAGTCCAAGGCCTTCACAGAGAGGCAAATAGCCTCTTGATACTTCTAAAGCTTGTGATTAGCATAGGACAGTGATTACCTGTAATAATGATCCATTAAATATCTGCTATGAGCCAACACTATTCTAGATGGTCCCCTGAATATATCTTCTGTTTTAAAAGTAGGAAAATGGATCAAACACTTCAGATTTTCAACAAAAATGATTAAAATATGTAAATCTAAAAAAAAAAAAAAAAGAGTAAATCTCACTTTGACTTTTTGCATCTTTAAGATTTGAATTTTTTGTTCCCATGGAAGAAGTAAAGAAGAGGTCACTAGATGTTGCAGTGAAAAACAGTAGGCCACTTGGCTCACACAGAAGAAAGGAGCTAGGAAAAGTAAGTACAAGAAGGACTCTTGGTACTCTGCCTCCCACAGCACTCTACCTGGAGTTCATTGGTGGAACACCTTGCAGAAATTCTGATGGTATCATCTGGCTGTTACCAGAACTGGCTTCAAGGAGGTTAGAGTCTCATTGGGAGGTTTTGGGGGTGGAGGGTATTTTAACATTGCTGAAAGTAAAACAGGTGGGTAAATTAATATGATAAATACTATTTTAACAAGTTGGAGAATCTATCCAAACTCATCATTGCACAAGTATTTGAACATCTATTAAGTTTGTTTTGATAATATGTGAAGCTTGGGTCTCATTATGTCAAGATTTTTGTGGAGATGGGATTTTACTTAAAGTAGAGAATGTATAATCTTCAGGAAGATGCCAAGTACAAATAAAAAGAGTATTTATACAATACTTTGCAGCTATAGTTTAATAAACACCTTCTTATAATCATCTTTTTAAGATCCCACTTAGATGATGTAGGGGAAGTTATCCTTATTTTTAGAGTTGAGGCAACCATGGTGTCTTGCTTAAAATTAAAATTCAGTTCATGAGTAAAGGCAAGTTGTTCTCTAAGGAAAATTGATAAATTCTGAGGTTTAACTCTGAAGAGCAGTTCACCTTTTCCTAGTACACTGAGGCCAGTGCCTTTATTGCACTTCTGGAGAGTTGAGAGCTAAAAGAAAAAGAGTCCCTGCTCAAAACCGAAACCCAAGGAGGCCCTTTTTATGATTAATTCCATTTGTCCCAATATGTTTCCATTTAATGCAGTTTTTTGGAAGGAAACTGATTATTTGCGTTTGTTTAGGTTCTGATTGACTTATCAAAAGAGGATCTGATTAAGGGCTTCTCACGATGGTAAGTGAGCCCTTTCATTTTATCACATTAATCTGGTACTTAAGACATTGTCTCCAGCAGTTGCACATGATCTTTTTCCAAAATTCTTCCTTTTTCAGTACATGTCAGCTTCTTTGCTTATCAAGGAAGGAGACACATTATCACCTATACTTAAGGATTTTCTGCCTATAGTTCTCACTTACCTAACAGACCTCTCTCTATAAGCCCTAGTCTTAACCCCAGCCGGTTGACTTACAGAGGGATGGGTTCTCCCGGTCCCAGAGGGACCTACGCTAGCTAGACAAGGCTGCTTGTCCTGATGCTGCCACCACAATACGCCCGTGATACTAACAAAAGTCCAAACCCAACTGTTTTACAGGTACGAGCTGACTCCAGACGGGCAGCCCAGAAGTTGATGAGCACCCTTACCACCTTTATATTAAAATGTGTACATATGTATATTTTGTAATTTAAATCAGAACAGCCATTTGAAAATATATACATACATTTTTGTGTGAAATTTAAGTACATGACTGGATAATATTAGGAAGAGGTAAACATATATAAAAGTACTACTCTCGGTTGGATTTAGTTGTTGAAATCCAGAAAGAAATGTGGTGTTCATACCTAATAAATTATCAGAACCTCACTGGTGATTTTTTTTTTTTTTTGTAGGTAATTATATACCATATAACTTGAGATTTGCCCAAATGTATGTGTCAAAAGTGTCCTGTCTCAGACATAAGGGGTGAAGGAGATCTGTTCCTAGAAGAGATACCAGTATTCCTGGGAAGTGACTACCAAGGGAAGAGGCTTCTTTTGTGGGAATAAAAAGTGACCCACACCAAAAGTACCAAAATCCAACACTACCTAAGCCCTTCTGGTCCTTCTGCCATCTTTGGTACTTTACTGCCTGGAAGTTTGTTCCTTTATCTACTGTAGAACTAAAGTGTACTTTTCTGATGGCAACAATGTTATAGTGATATACCTAAATACTCGGAGTTAAATACTCCAACGTGGGATGGCAAACTCCAGCATGTGTCATCATTTTCATAGGAAAAAGCAAACCAAACCCCAAGTCCAGGTCTGTATTTCCACTACCACAGCAAAGCTCTAGAGACTGTTGCAGAGTGTTGGTGCCAGAAGAAAGGAGCTTCTGTCTCTCTCTCAGATGGTTTGGCAATTCTATTCTACCTTTCTAAGATGGCTGTTTAAGTAATATTTAAAAGCAAAATATGTAAATTGCACAAACAAGTGCCTCTATTTCAAACTTTATAACACCAAATGTTCTCATTCTCTCTCATGTTATCCTAGAGCTACTGTTGAATTTGCATCCTTTTCTCTTCACTCAGGCAACAGCTCCTGCCATCAGTTTCCTGTTCCCCTCCCCTCACTGCCTTCACTGCTGCTTTTCTGAAGAATGGTACTATCTTAAAGTTTCTGTTATGTTATTCTCACTTATATCCATCATTTCCTGTTTTCTACAAGAATAAAACCCACTTAATTTTGTCCTTTGGCCCTAACAATCTAGTCCCTAGTGTTTTGCTACTTTATTTATGTGCAGATGCTCTATTCTAGACTAGTCTATATATCATATCCTACCTACTCAAATCCTATCCTCTTCAAAAGCCTTGTCTCAAAACCCACTTCTTCTGTGCCAGTCCACACTGAAATGGCTTCCCTCATCTCCTACAGCATTTACTGTCAATACTGTATATTTTTAATAATTCACTGCCTTGTAACATTTAATTTTTAAAAAGGCTTATTAGAGGAGAGGGAGGAGTCAAGATGGCAGAGAAGTAGCAAGCTGAGACTACATCAGGTAGCAGGAGATCACCTAGATAGCTTATCAAGCCATTGCAAACACCTACAAATCCAACAGGAGACTGAAGAGAAGAAGAAAAGCAACTCTAGAAACAGAAAATTGACCACTTTCTGAAAGGTAGGACTGGTGGAGAAGTGAATCCAAAACGACAGGAAGATAGACCGCGGGGGGAGGGGCCGGCTCCCGGAAAACGGCGGAGCAACAGAGCACAAAATCAGGACTTTCAAAAGTATGCTCCACTGAGGGACATAGCTCCAGAGGCTAAACTGGAGTGAAGCCCACGCGGGGTCACAGAAGGATCGGGGGTGTCTGAGTGTCGCAGAGCTCGCAGGTATTAGACCGGGGAAGCCGGCTACAGAGACAGGGCCAAGGAGTGAGCTCTCAGCTCGGGGTTACCTTGAACTGGTCGCAGGCTGGGTGAGCTCGGAGTGTGGCCAGAGGCCAGGGAGACGGGAGTGATTGGGCTCTTTTCTCTGAGGACGCACTGAGGAGTGAGGCCCTGAGCTCTCGGCTCCTCAGGGCCGAAGACTGGGAGGCCGCCATTTTCATTCCCATCCTCCGGAACTCTACGGAAAGTGTTCAGGGGACAAAAGCTCCCAAAAGCGAACCTGAGCTGATTACTTAGCCAGGCCACTGGTAAGGGCAGTGCAATTCCGCCTGGGGCAAAGACACTTTAGAATCACTACAGTAGACCCCTCCCCCAGAAGATCAACAAGAAATCCATCCAAGACAAAGTTCACCTACCAAGGAGAGTAGAATTCCAGTGGAGGGGTAAGCAAAGCACGGAACTCATGGCTTTCTCCCCAAGATTCTTTAGTCTTGCAGTTAATTTTTTTAAAATTTTATTTTTTTCTTCTGCTAATTTTTTTTTAACTTTTACCCTTTTCTTTTTTAATGTTTTTAAACTAGTTTAATATATATATTACACATATATATATCTTTTTATATTTTCTTTGTTTTCTTTTTTTTTTGCTTTTTTATTTTTCCTGAACTTCTTTTTATCCCCTTTCTCCCTCCCACGATTTGGGGTCTCTTCTGATTTGGTTAAAGCACATTTTCCTGGGGTCTTTACCACCCTTTCAGTATTTTATTTGCTCCTTCATATACTCTTATCTGGACAAAATGGCAAGGTGGAAAAACTCACCACAAAACAAAAGAACAAGAGGCAGTACCAAACGCTAGGGACCTAATCAATACAGACACTGGTAATATGTCAGATATAGAGTTCAGAATGACGATTCTCAAGGTTCTAGCCGGGCTTGAAAAAGGCATGGAAGATATTAGAGAAACCCTCTCTGGAGAGATAAATGCCCTTTCTGGAGAAATAAAAGAACTAAAATCTAACCAAATTGAAATTAAAAAAGCTATTAATGAGGTGGAATAAAAAATGGACGCTCTTACTGCTAGGATAAATGAGGCAGAAGAAAGAATTAGCGATACAGAAGACCAAATGACAGAGAATAAAGAAGCTGAGCAAGAGAGGAACAAAGAACTGCCGGACCACGAGGGGAGAATTCGAGAGATAAGTGACACCATAAGACAAAACAACATTAGAATAACTGGGATTCCAGAAGAAGAAGAGAGAGGGGAGCAGAAGGTATATTGGAGAGAATTATTGGAGAGAATTTCCCTAATATGGCAAAGGGAACAAGCATCAAAATCCAGGAGGTGCAGAGAACCCCTCCCCCCCAAAATCAACAAGAATGGGTCCACACCCTGTCACCTAATAGTAAAATTTACAAGTCTTAGTGACAAAGAGAAAATCCTGAAAGCAGGCCGGGAAAAGAAGTCTGTAACATACAATGGTAAAAATATTAGATTGGCAGCAGACTTATCCACAGAGACCTGGCAGGCCAGAAAGAGCTGGCATGATATCTTCAGAGCACTAAACGAGAAAAACATGCAGCCAAGAATACTATATCCAGCTAGGCTATGATTGAAAATAGAAGGAGAGATTAAAAGCTTCCAGGACAAACAAAAACTGAAAGAATTTGCAAACACCAAACCAGCTCTACAGGAAATATTGAAAGGGTCCTCTAAGCAAAGAGAGAGCCTTAACGTAGTAGATCAGAAAGGAACAGAGACAATATACAATAACAGTCACCTTACAGGCAATACAATGGCACTAAATTCATATCTCTCAATAGTTACCCTGAATGTTAATGAGCTAAATGCCCCAATCAAAAGACACAGGGTATCAGAATGGATAAAAAAAAAAACCCATCAATATGCTATCTACAAGAAATTCATTTTAGACTGAAAGACACCACCAGATTTAAAGTGAGGGGGTGGAAAACAATTTACAATGCTAATGGACATCAAAAGAAAGCTGGGGTGGCAAACTTTATATTAGATGAATTAGATTTTAAGCCAAAGACTATAATAAGAGATGAGGAAGGACACTATATCATACTCAAAGGGTCTGTCCAACAAGAAGATCTAACAATTTTAAATATCTATGCCCCTAACATGGGAGCAGCCAACTACATAAACCAAGTAATAACAAAATCAAAGAAACACATCAACAATAATACAATAATAGTAGGGGACTGTAACACTCCCCTCACTGAAATGGACAGATCATCCAAGCAAAAGATCAACAAGGAAATAAAGGCCTTAAGTGACACACTGGACCAGATGGACATCACAGATATATTCAGAACATTCCATCCCAAAGCAACAGAATACACATTCTTCTCTAGTGCACATGGAACATTCTCCAGAATAGATCACATCCTTGGTCATAAATCAGGTCTCAACCGGTACCAAAAGATTGAGATCATTCCCTGCATATTTTCAGCCACAATGCTCTGAAGCTAGAACTCAATCACAAGAGGAAATTTGGAAAGAACACAAATACGTGGAGACTAAACAGCATCCTTCTAAAGAATGAATGGGTCAACCAGGAAATTAAAGAAGAATTGAAAAAATTCATGGAAACAAATGATAATGAAAACACAACAGTTCAAAATCTGTGGGACACAGCAAAGGCAGTCCTGAGAGGAAAATATATAGCGGTACAAGCCTTTCTCAAGAAACAAGAAAGGTCTCAGTTACACAACCTAACCCTACACCTAAAGGAGCTGTATAAAGAACAACAAAGAAAGCCTAAACCCAGCAGGAGAAGAAAAATCCTAAAGATCAGAGCAGAAATCAATGAAATAGAAACCAAAAAAACAATAGAACAAATCAACAAAACTAGGAGCTGATTCTTTGAAAGAATTAATAAGATTGATAAACCCCTGACCAGACTTATCAAAAAGAAAAGAGAAAGGACCCAAATAAATAAAATCATGAATGAAAGAGGAGAGATCACAACTAACACCAAAGAAATACAGACAATTATAAGAACATACTATGAGCAACTCTACACCAACAAATTTGACAATCTGGAAGAAATGGATGTATTCCTAGAGACATATAAACTACCAAAACTGAACCAGAAAGAAATAGAAAACCTGAACAGACCCATAACCAGTAAGGAGATTGAAACAGTCATCAAAAATCTCCAAACAAACAAAAGCCCAGGGCCAGACGGCTTCCCGGGGGAATTCTACCAAACATTTAAAGAAGAACTAATTCCTATTCTCCTGAAACTGTTCCAAAAAATAGAAATGGAAGGAAAACTTCCAAACTCATTTTATGAGGCCAGCATCACCTTGATCCCAAAACCAGACAAGGATCCCATCAAAAAAGAGAACTACAGACCAATATCCTTGATGAACACAGATGCGAAAATTCTCACCAAAATACTAGCCAATAGGATTCAACAGTACATTAAAAGGATTACTCACCACGACCAAGTGGGATTTATTCCAGGGCTG